TACCTATAAACAAGACAAAACTTATTTTTAAGATGCAGTATTTTATTCATGTTACAAAATCCTGCACAGTGCAAAATCGCAGTGTATGATCCTTTTCATGATTGTTGCTGAAGTATGGGACAGTGTGCATTCTGTGTTGATTACTGCAGAACTTTTAAGCACCAATAGCCTGACTCAATTCTTGTGGAAGTCAGTTGAAAGACTCATTATGTTAATGGATTTTGGATCAGGCCTCAAATTAGGCATATCCCTTTTAATAAGAAATCCGTGGTCATCCCATGTGCAAGCAGGACTTTATTTTTTTCTGATTTTGACCTTCTATTAAAAGAAAAGTAGAAAAATGAAAAGAATCCCATTGACTTTGTTGGGCGTAGCCTGCTAAAGCACAGGCCTCTACCATATGAGTTCAGTCCCTGCTGATAACCTGCCATTACACCAGAGTTTGCAAAACTATGCCTAGGAACCCTTACAGCTGTAAATATTTCAGTGTTACAGTTTGCAGTAGATGCGTTAACAGTGATTAGAAAAAAAGGCCAAGCACCTTAAAAGGCAAAAAATACAAAGCAGAAACAATATATGTCCCTCTGGAAGTCTAGTTTGGAGTAATTTTGCTGATGAAATTTGAGTCTGAGAAGCCTCAGGCCATGTATTTTTCCTGTTCTCAATCTCTAAACCAGCTTGTAGCGCAAAGTGATTGAGAAGGACAATTGCTGTTCCAATTCTGGACAAAAATGATCCCATTCCATTTTTTTCCCTGCAGCTTCTTGATGGAGATGATAATGATTGAGTTTCTTCATGAAAGCTTTCCAGATGCAGCCATAAATCCTCCATTAAAAATCACACCAAAAAATAGGGAGGGATGGGTAGCAATCCAGGTTCCTCAGACACAGGTGCCATCACTCAGTCACACGTTAGGCATGCAACTCGTTCAGTGACCAAGATGGATGGAGTGATCGGATGTAAACTGTTTAGATGATGATATGATAAACAGTGCTTGGGATTAGTGATGACAAATTTATGGTCAGCATCTGAATAGCATGATATGCAGGACTAATGGCTTTCCCTTATTCAGCAAAAGAGGGTTTGTAATCCCTTTTCATGGGGATGTCAGTCTGAAACATGGCAGATAAGGGTAAAGAATAGATGGGAGGGCTTATTGGAAATAAACAGTGATACTTTTCCGCATTCCCAATGGGACATTTAATCCAACAATGGTATAAGATTATTGATAATAATGCTTTGAATGTATATCACTTTCCATATCCAAAGTGCTGGACAAACATCAATCCAATGTAGCTTCTATACAGCTGAACCTCCATAGAGTGAGCTTGGGTATACAGTAATTGAAGTCCTCAGCTGTCTCAATGCATTGCAATGTGCAGATGGCAAGTCCACTTACAAGGCGCAACACTGCTTATTGCCCCTGTGTGAAATAATGGAAATTTTGTTACTGACTTTACTGAAAGCAGGATCTGAGCTATAGAGTCGGCATCAGATCATCAGAACTTCTGAGTTACAGAACTCCTCCTGATCTTTAACCTTTCATCTCAAAGATACCAAGATCCTCTTTGGTTGGGTTATTCCCCTAAAGTAGTTTAGCCATTTTGATTATGCTCCTCAATACACTCAGACTGCAGTAATGCTATGAAGAAAATAGTAGGCTTAAATATTGTACAGAGGTTTCCATTAATCAGAGAAATTGTAACATGATCCCCATGCTGCCTCCCAAGAACACTCGCCACGAACCACGTTTTCATGAAATCAGAAAAGGGCAGGAATTGGGCACAGGGGCATAGATAGAGAAAACTACTGGCACCATTTGTTTCGGAAGAAGCTATTGAGGCACTCGTCAGTACTAAGGGAAAATCCACCAACCAGGTTCTGAGAGAATTCTGTGTCTGAAAGGCTCTGTTTGGATAATTAGCTTTGCTTAAGAGCGGAAATGGGTTGGTTCTTTCACAAATGCATTGCCTTGGTGACAGCTCTGCTTGAGCCTGGAAGGAAGAGAGACTTGCTAAATCCCCATTGTATCTCTGCGGTTATGCACAGCTAGGATGCAATGTGGTGATTTGCCTCTCCAACTTTCACTGTAGTGAAAACTTGACTTTAATACTGTTTATTCATGCCTCTATTCTTTGTGGTAATTAAATGACTCCTGCTTGTTCCGCAAGAAACTTTGCTGTTCATCCCACATATGGATTTAGAAAACAATGGGATGTATTATGATCCAACCTCTTTGCACTGCTCTGATGGCACAAAGGGGCTAGAAAACTACCAGAGTTCTGCAGATGGGGAGTTCCCAAGAGTTGGGGAGTCACCAGTAGACACAGAGCTGGTGTAGCTGCAGCTGCAATATAGGAAGCAAGTCCGAATGCTGTCATAGGCGTCACACAACCTTAACTACGTTACAATATCCATACAGTTGCCATGTAGTTCCTTTCAGGTGAGTTATGAACAGTTGAGATGACTGGGTTACTACTACTTGCTTCCCTCATTGAATGTGAGAGCACTGCTTTACTAGCATCCTTCCTCCCTTAATCCTATGACAGGGAGGAAGGATGGTAGAGTGATTAGGACACTACCCTAGGACTTGGAAAATCCAGGTTCAGTTCCTTGCTCTCCACAGACTTTGTGTGCTCATGGGCAAGTCACTTAGGGCTGGATTTTTAAAGGTATTTAGGTGCCCAATGGAATCTTCAAAAGCATCTAGGCACCTAAAACTCATTGATTTCAATAGATACTTTTGAGAATCCCAAGAGGTGCCTAAATATATTTAAAAATGTGTCCCTTAGCCTCTCTGTGCCTCAGTTTCCCAACAGTAAAATACGGATAATAGCATTTCCCTGCCTCACAGGTGTGAGGGTTGTGAGGTGCTCAGATATTATGGTACTGGGGCCATATAGATACTTAAGCTAGATAGGACAGTGCTGAAAACAGGCATTCCCTCTATGCCATTCCATTCCCTGCAAGTTCTAGACCCAGTAGGGTAGGGATCATGATTCTTATAAATTATTTGTATCATGGCAGTGCCTAGTGGCATCAACTGAAAGCAAGGCCCCATTAGTTTAGTAATGTTGATGCTTACCAGTTTTTGCCAATGAACTAGCAAAACTTGGTGAATTTTTATTTTAAAGTTCATTTCCACTCATCAAATGGGAAAAAGACTCCAATTTTAGGGATGGGATCAGGACAATGTAACGGTCTCTTTACTGGCTGAATCTGAGTGAAAGAGTAACCCTGTATTTGAATTTCTTTGGTGGGTAGAAATTAATATTTTCTGAAGTTCGCTTGTCACTGTAATTTGGGTGCAGGGGGAGAAATAAAAGTGGAGTGTGTTTATAGTACACTGAGAACCCTCCTGTCCTGGGCCTTCTTTCAAGGTGCTGATTGTGGAGGTGGTTTTTGGGTTGTGGACATCACAAACTCATTTCACACAGGCTACACAATAATTCAGCCAACCAGTTGGAACTAACCTTAGACATGGCAATGTGTAGGTGAAGGACTAGAACTGTCGAGTCTCCATCTCCTGATACTACTATTTTCAATGTGTGCCTCTGTAGTTATAAAATGGGATTGAGTGCCAGAGTCTCTGCTCAGTTACACCAGCATAAATTTAGATTTCATTGGAGTTAGTCCAGCTATCCACTGATATAACTGAGATTTTAATCTGGCCCTTAAACTATGTAAGAGACACTGAAAGGATGGATGGGGTTTCTGGTTGGTAGCTGTATCCTCACCAGCAGAGATAACTAGCATCAGGTAACGTGTAATAAAGTCTCCTTCCATTGAGCTCCATTTCACTGAGGTCACTCCACTGTGGATTACAGATATGGAAGTTTGATTAATAGAAGTAAACTACTCATTCTGAAAAAGCCTCACTAGAGCAGAATATTTCCCTGAGCAAATTGTCATATGAGCTGGTTTCTCATGAAATAGTTATCTGTGAAGTCTTCAGGGATCATTGGGAGTGGCTGCTAGAAGGTTATTTAACACAGTAGTATTTATGGAGTCTCAGAGATTTGATTTATTACATTCAAGTTGTCTTTTGCCATCACGCCTAATGCCATTTGGACGGCAGAAAAATTACTTTGATGTCCACCATCTCACATCAACTACATATTGGTTCCAAACAACTGTATGATACTGGAATATGAGAATGTAGAGGGATGGAAGAGTGTCATCAAGTGGCCAGCTTATTTAAAAGTATGCTTCCTTTTGTGTTCTCTTATCCATTGTACCCTGCAATTCCTATGCTACCCCACAGATCACTGTGCCCCTCAATCTGTGATACCACAGTGACAGGCATCCTGGAAATATCTAACCTAGAGCTCTTGGGCCTGGTTCTCAGTTACAGCAAGATCCCTTTATGCAACTCTGGTAGCGTAAAGGGGGCAGAAATGGCCTTGTGAGAATACTGCCTGTGCTACTCCCAATCCATAAAGCGAACTTTCAATATAAATACATTATTCTGTAAATATCATCTGTACATATGTCTCTCCGTGATTATGAATTGTGACAAGTTACGAGCTTTCTGTAGTTACCTTACATGTTACTTTTTAGGGATGGCTATCCTACATGGCATGTGTGTTGTAGTGAGTTTCTCGGGTGTGAGATGAGAGATGTTTGCAAAGAGCAGGGCACTGTTTACAAAGGGGTCTCTGTGTCACACAGAGTAACTGAGAATCAGGCCCCCTTTTTACTTATCTGATTAAAATAAATGAATCAGATTTATTTTTGCTTTGTAAAAAGATGGGTAAAATTGGCCTTTTTATATACCTAAAGGAAAATAACTCATTCTTTCTTAGATCTTAAGTATTTTGAAGGTGTCTGTCACTAATTAAGCTCTCTCTCCCTTGGATAAAGATCTGAAAACTGGAGTCCCAGACCAGTAGCTGAACTGAATTGCAAAGATATAGCAAACACTGCAAGGACTGAGCAGTGAGTATAACTCCCAGTATCATGGCTTTGCTCTGTTTTAACACTTTTTTTTCTTCCCTCAGGCTATGAAAGTCCTCTCCAAAAAGAAGCTACTGAAACAGTATGGATTTCCACGTAGGTATCATGCTTTTAAAGGTTACAGACAAGCCCTGCAGGCCTTACCTGCTATCCACTGGAAATTTTGCCGGAGTAAGGCATACAGAACCTGGCCTCCTTTCAAAGCTGCTTGGGTGGTTTGTGAGGATAGACATACTGGATCATCTATAATAAGGATTAAGGACAGGCACGAGCTATCATCCAAAACACAATTTCCCACCTCACTGCTCCTTGGTGCCCTCTGTCCCCAGACAGTCTTGCTCCCTGATGGTAAAACACTGACCTCTGTACTTGTGTAGCATATAGAAGCCCTTTTTCTTGTTGTGCCTCTACAGTATCTTTCAGCAAATTATCTGAATAAACTTTCAGGCACACTCTTTTGCGTGCACAAAAACAAGATACTATACTCAAAACACAAAACACTCTACTCTTCCTACTGTATTTTCCACTGCATGCATTCGATGAAGTGGGTTTTAGCCCACGAAAGCTTATGCCCAAATAAATTTGTTAGTCTCTAAGGTGCCACAAGTACTCCTCGTTCTTTATACTCAACCTGTAAGGAGAAGCCATTTTGAATTTGTGATGTGATCCAAAGCCACCGCTGCTTGTTTCCCAGCCATCAGGAAGTTAACTCTCCTTCTTGGGTGTCCCACAGTGGTCTAGCACAGAACGTGGAGGTGGCGTCTAAAGGCTCAGACAGGCTCTCAAAGAGTGTGCAAGACACTTAGGGCCAGATTTTCAAAAGCACGTGGCACCCAACACGCTGAGTGTTTTTGAAAACCTGGCCCTGACTGTGGATCCTGAGCCCTTCTGAAAATTCTAGCCTTGGGGCCAGATTGACAAGAACTCAGTATCCACAGTTGGAGCCAGATTTTCACTAGATCTCAGCACCCGGCAGCTCCGATTGCGACACCGATGGCCAGATTTTCACACGGTGTGCTGAGCACTTTTGAAACTCTGGCCTTGTCGATGGAAAAGGATTCTGCACACTGACCTGGGTTGTAACGCAGGTTGGGTTTATCTGTTTTTCTAGTTTTTCTCTTGTGGTAATTCAGGCACCCTAAAACCTAAGAATCAAACCTTGAGGAGGAAAACTTGCTGGCTAACGGCTTGTCCTTTCCCCGCTGGTTCATTCCACTAGCTCAAGTAGTTTCTTATAGTGAGGCCTTTTGCCTAACACAACAATACAAGCAATATCCTACCTGGCTCGTCTTCTCGTTCTGGAAACTAAGCTTTTATTCATTCCTTCATGTGAAATGACGTGTTTTAAATTTAATCTTTTGAAAACATTGGGCTTGATCCTACTATCTGCTAAGCACTCTCAACTCCCATTGAAGATAGTTGGAGTTGTGGGCACTCAGCTCCTTCTAAGATCAGGCTCATTGTGTGCATAAGGCTAATGCAAAGCACCACGTACCCTTGTGAAATTTTGTCATCAAGAACCAAATTTTCCTTTTGAGTAATTTGGCAATTACTCGTGGAATAATTCAATCAAGCTAGTGAGAGGCCTCATGATTGGGTATTAAATCTATTTATTGGGGGATCGCTTCACTTGCCAGGTCTTTGTAATTGTTTTGGAAATAGAACAAGACATGGAAATTGGAGCTTTTTGTAACAATAGAAAAACCAGAATGTGCATTGCCTTCTGCCTAACTACCTATCTGCATCATAGCTTGTGGTATGATTTTTTTCAATGGGATCATGATTATAATAGAATAGTGCATTTAACATGAACAATCCTAAACCTGTTTACAAATGAGAGACAGTGCAGCCATCTCTGGGGTGGAAGGCATCAACTAGATGTATCAGAGTAGTTGGGGGCAGATAAATTGTGGCTAGTAACACAGGGTAAACCATTCTATGAAAACATCCCCTGGTCTCCTTAATGTTCATACAGAATTTTAGTTTTAAGGCTTCACCTGAAAGGTCCAAACACACTGAAGCACACAAAGCTCAATTCATCGGCCTTAGAAAGATAATGGGATGAGTTGATCCAGCGGAGCTTGGGACCTGTTGGATGTCCTTCCAGGGCAGACTGTAGGAATGTTGATGGGGCAGTGCTGGTGCCCATGTTGTACTTGTTCTGCAGCTGGCTGATTTCCAATCCCCAGAGCAGTCAATCTTACTCTTTTCACTGGCACTAAATTTCAAGTTGACTTTATACGAGAAAATAAAAGTTGGGCATTGAATCGTGTGGAGAACGTTCAGTAGGTCAGTGTGTCATCTCTTAGTCGTATGTTTTTAGGTCCTGCACCCATTCAAAGCCCCATGCGCTACAGCCATTCACTGTGTTGTATCGTGTGCTGCCAAGCAGGGGTAAAGCACAACTTTTTGTTGCTGCTGTTGCAGGTCGACCTCCCCCTAGAGGATCCAAAGCAACTTCTGGTGGGCAGCCGAAACCAATGGCACCACTGGATAGAGTTTATCAAGAAATAGCCATCTTAAAGAAACTGGACCATATCAACATTGTGAAGCTGATTGAGGTGTGTATGCCAAAGCGGGTTGGGAGGGAAGGGGCGCTGTTGTTCAGGTCAGACTGTGCGGATGGTTACATTCAAGTTTGGTTTTTTTAAGTTAATGGGGATCAGGAAGTAAAATCCCCTAGATGGCTTTGAAAATCACAGCCTATCTTTACGAATTAAGGACCCGATTCTGCCCACACTCCGCACAGTGGGGCTGTGTATGTGGAGGGCTTGCTTGATCAAGGTCAAAGTTTATAAATAGCAGATCCTTAAGCAACTGTGTGTTTTAGAGAGAGAGAAAGAAAAGTTAAGCCTTGCCTACACACAAACTTGCACTGGTTTAATTAAACTAGTGTAGGCTCCTGTGTGGTTATTCTTTTATTCAGTCTAAGACCAGCTTACTTTGGTTAAGCTTAAACCTGTGCCTAATCAACATAAGCTATCCAAAATAAGCCAAGTTTAAACCAAAATTAGTGTCATTTCAGCCTTTTGCTCCAGTTTAACTAAATCAGTTTATGATCATTCTTTAAGTTAACCTGTGGAATGCTGTATGTAGAAAAGCCCTACGCGTCTGTGTGGCCGGGAATGGGGGCGGGGCGGGGAGAGAGAAAGAGAGAGAGAGTGCTTGTGTGGTGATGGACCTTAGTGCCCTGTTAATCAATATTTGTCTGACATGGGCAAATAGCATCTTAATTTGCATGCACTGTCTCTAGTAGGCAGAGGAGTGCATGGAATTTGTTTTCTTTAATTCCCCAGATCTTCCCAGGGTAAACTAAAGAAAATTTCTCTCTATCCTTCAAAAACCTCCTCAGTGCAGTGAGTTTCTAACTGCTAGCAGTTGCTCTGTAGCACTGGAGTCTTTGAATAGGATCTCTGATCCCATAACAACTCCTGTAAGCCCATTCTGATCCTGGCAATGTGGTAAGAAGGGAAATATACCAGTGAATAGCAGTGCTTACTCAGTGTAAAAGATGAGCATCCACAGAGATACTTGGGTTCAAGTCAAGTTTTAGCTGCAAAGTTTGGTGAACCCTGAATCCAGTGTGATGACAATTATGCAGGGCCACAGCTTAGCTCTGTTGGTGTCATGACATTGCAGCACATGCCCAGTGAGACCTATGCTTGCCCCTCCAGTGGCCCCACACTGCAGAGGTCTGGATGCAACTCCTTTCTGAGCTAGTAAACAATGTGCGCAGGTGGACAGAGGAGATTGCGACAGGGTGATATTCCCAGCTGCTGACAGTCCAGGAGTTCAGGACCCAAACTGAGAAACTTCCTGGCATACTAGTGTGATATCCTTTCCTTAGATTGTAAGGCCAGCCAGATTTTTGCATGTAGGTTACATGGAGATAGATGCATAGCAGCCTTTCTTGCATATACTTTGTCTGAAAATCAAGCTTATGTGACTGTATGCCATGCATGAGCAGGGCCCTTGGTGTGTACAGTGGTTGTGCTTAACATGGTTCAAGGGTGCAAGTCTTGTTATTTTAAGTCTAGTCTGCAGAGCATCAGAGAAGGGTCAGATTGCAATGTGTAGATCTATAGCTAAATTTCCCAGGTTTAGGGATGCTTGAGTCTATCCCTACTAAAAACTGGTAAGAAGTGTGTGCACACACGCACATGCGAGATAAAGGCAGGGGAGATAGATGTATATTTAAAGTCACAAATCGCATATTACTCCATTAAACTTCAATTCCAGGTGCTCTGTGAGTTTAACACCCTCCAGGCACAACATGAAATATGGGTAATTATAGAGTATTATTGGATTAAAGATGTCTCCCTGTCTGTTTCCCTTCCCTTGCTTCTGTGATATCCATTTTAGGTACTGGATGATTCTGCAGAGGACAATCTGTACATGGGTATGTATCTCCCTGTATGTTAATAGAGCCATACTTGCTTATTCTCACTGAGGTGTTTAATGTACATATCCAGGAGACTTACACAGACCACAACAGAGATAGAGTTGGTACCTATGAAACGTTAAAAGTCTCCTAAGGGGTGGGAGAATGCAGAAAGGCATTGCACCAGTGTCATAGAATCATAGAATATCAGGGTTGGAAGGGACCTCAGGAGGTCATCTAGTCCAACCCCCTGCTCAAGCAGGACCAATCCCCAGACAGATTTTTGCCCCAGATCCCTAAGTGGCCCCCTCAAAGATTGAGCTCTCAACCCTGGGTTTAGCAGGCCAATGCTCAAACCACTGAGCTATCCCTCCCCCAGGTTCAGGAGGCCTTGCACTTTAGGAGAGCTGCACAGAGCAAGAGCTGCTGCATCCACTGACACTGAACAGGTATAGTTTGTGCTTCCCGCACACACTCAGCCTGGCTCTAATTCATCCAGCCAGAGTAAAAGGGTGGGAGCAGTGGATGGCTCCTCTTCTCTCTGGGGAATCTAGTGTGATATGCAAAGACTGAGATCATGTCTGCCTCATGCATGCCCACAAGGAGTGGAGGGAATTTCCTTCTGTCCTGTCTCCCCAACACCCCTGTGAAGAGTCAGCCACCGTATCTACAAGGATACGCCTCATAGTATAGTAAATAAAGAAATAGTAAAGGAGGCTTTTGAAGCTGCCTGGAAAGAGGGATCTGCCTAGCAAATGAAGCTGCTTTCCTTTGAAAGGCCAGTTTCCCTTTCAAGAGCAGATTCAGCCGAAGCCCACATTGTTTTTCGAGAGACATCAAAGATGTGGCAGTTGAGGTGGAAACACAAGTATAGTAGGGAGCCCAGCTTGTGTGGCTTTTTGGAGGCCCGGTCTCCTGGAGGGGCGTGTGTGTTAGATTCCTTTTGGTTGAATGAAAGTCAGTGCAAAGTGCAATTCAAAAAGCAGAAGAGGAAAAAAGTTGTGCTGCTGGGTTACAGTAATGGTGATAGCAGTAATAATAGTGGGGCCGCTTGTCAACCCCTTACTCATACTGGAGAGCAGTTACTCACATGAGTAGACCCACTGGAGTCTGAGCACAGAATGGGTGAGCAAACTAGGGGCATAACCACCTGCATAACTATCTCCAGTGTCACCCTCTCTTTAATCCCTGGAATAGTTTATGTGAGCAATAGCTCAGCAGTGTGATGAAAGGGTTCATAGACTGGGCCAGGAGTACTGCAGTGGGACAGTAAGGGCCGCTTCATTGGTACTAGTAGGTACATTTGAGAACATTGTAAAAAGCAATTCTTTCATGTGCAGTTAAAACCAAGCCAAGGCGTAGCAGCACTCTGCAGGGTGTGCAAGCCTTACTGTTCCGTCCGCATGTCTCAGGGCTAGTCTACACTTACCGGTTAGTTCGACGGCTGCGGATCGAAGTTCCGAGTTCGATTTATCACGTCTGTCTGGACGCGATAAATCGAACCAGGAAGTGATCCCCGTCGACTGCGGTACTCCAGCTCAGCGAGAGGAGTACCGCGAAGTCGACGGGGAGCCTGCCTGCCGCGTGTGGACCGTGTCTGAACCGCGGTAAGGTCGAAGTAAGGTATGTCGAATTCAGCTACGTTATTCAGGTAGCTGAATTTGCGTACCTTACTTCGATTTGGGGGGTAAGTGTAGACCAGCCCTTAGTGATGCTGTATGAAGATGTAGGTCTAATCCTGAGTGGGGCTGATTTTCATCCACACACTGCTTCCTTTGCAATGCTCAGGGAACACAGATCAGCTACTAGGCTGCTCTAACCTGGGACAAGGGCCTGCAGAGAATCAGGGAGCTGTAACCATCCCTCTCTGCTTTACAAAGAATGAGCTTGGCAAAGCCGAGAATCTGGCTGTGTATCTGTAATTCCCGCTAAAGTCAGAGGACGTGGTAAGTGCTCAACACGTCTCGAGCTCAGGCTGTCTGACATTAGGCATTCAGCTGAATGGTGTCACCATTGATAGCACTTCCCAGCAGGACGATCAGAAATACCAGGCAGGCTTTCCTTCTAAAATGTACTGTAGACAATCAAGTAGAATAGAAAACAAGAGAAGGTGCAGGACAGAGTGAGCTATTGAGACTTAAGCACATTGGCTTGTTTATTTCTTGCATCCATGTACACCATGCAGAGCTTGGTGCTAAGAAAACTGAGAAGCTGAGATAGAGGAAATGATAGAATTATTAAATGCTGCCAAAAGCAGCTTCTTCCTGAGCCTGCAAAGAAAGATTGCAGCATGTTATAGTTGCATCTTGATCTGTTTTAACATCACTGCTGTATGGTAGCAAATAGGTCTTTGCTGTAAATAGAGCGGTCTCACTTTACAGATGAGAGTTTGCATTGGGATTTTGCTAGTGTTGCAGTATCTTGTTTAACTACTTGTGAGGGAAAGGTCTCCTTGGTTTTGGCAGATCACCCCCTAACAGTATGGGACCCTACTGCCTAGCTGAGCCTACACATCAGACACAAAGGTGTCTAATGGTGGAATTGCATTGCTGGGAAACCCTATGCTATTATGGAACAGTGATAGCCACTTCGAACTTTAGGCTACAACCCAATTCCCAGCCTAAGCCCTGTTTTTGCTCAGCAGACCCCAGTGAGTTGGTGTTACACCTGTTTACACCTGCATAAATTGAGGCAGAGAGAGATTTAACTGATTGACCTAAGTTCGCAGAGTGAGGCAGTGGCAGAGCCATAGATAGAGCTCAGGAGTCCTGCTCTAATCACTATACAATTTAAAAAAAAAATTAAATAACTTTATCTAGTTTTACATTGACATCTTAATTTTCTGATCTGAGGTATTGGGTAATTGAGCTCTGTAGAGTGGCTAAGAAGGAATTAAGCTCATTAATTTAACTGGGGTTTGACAAACACTCTTATTTCAATCGCAGCACTGAATTGTTTTTGTTGTTCGTCGAGATGTGTTGCACAGATCCATTCCACCATCTGCCCTCATTCCCCTCTCTGTCGGAGCCTATCCAGTAAGAAGGAACTGAGAGGGGTCGGGGCAGATCTGCCCTCTTACAGCGGCATGCAGTGGCGCATGGTGCCAGACCGGAACCAGTGAGGGGAAAAAGTTCTCTGACCACTGTGCACAGGGCGCACACATACATATAGTGAAATGGACATGTGCAACACATCTTGAAGAACAGCAGTTACAGAAAGGTAGGTTAACCGTTTTTTTAATTATTACATAATTTTCTATTTGTATTTTATTAATTGAACCTCAAAAGGTTTGGTTTTATGAAAGAAAAACAAGTACCAGATGGTACCAGGCTGTGGCCCATCTATCCTTCCCCCACAGAAGTGTGAGGATTGCTTTACCCCTTCCTCCTGTGTGCCAGCTACCTACTTAACTGTGTGGTGGAGCAGCCTCTGCAGGGCTACTACTGTTCCTTTTTCTGCACAGGGGGACAGAGCCAAGGCCCCAGTGTGCCTTCCAGCAGAGGAAATAATCTGCACTAGGAATAGGGCTGAGATAGGTGACTGGGATGTGGACAGGTGGGATGGGGAGGGAGCAGACTTCTGGATCCAACGCCATACAGCATAAGTGCACCACTGTTCGTGGGGAGGGGGAAGTAATCTATAAGGCTGGTACAGGTTATTCCCTGTCTCTCCTGCTCACCCATAGCAGGGTGGGGAACTAGGATGCAGATTGGGACTCTGAGTCGCAGATTGGAACTCTGAGTCACAGGCTGGAGAAGTGCAACAATGCGCTGCTGCTTACTCAGCAAAGCCACGGTTTCACCCATAATAAAAATGAGAACACTCAGAGTTGTACAAACTAGAGCATGTTTCAAACTCATATAATTGCATCCATTTTATCTGTTGATAGTTACATAGCTATCCTGCCAATTTAATACATTACTAGTGAGGATACACATTCATACCGTATCATGTTTTGCTATTGATATTATTGCAGTGATACAAAAAACAATGCTGTTATGCAAGAAGGGAAAATCAAATCAAGAGGGTCTGGAAGCCAGGAGAATGGAAGTAGGGTTAGTAAATTGGCATCTGTTGTCTCCCAATTGGAGCTGGCCTGGGTAGTTATATTTGTCTCTGCTAAAGCAACAAGCTCTTTTAATTCTGCATCGCCTTGTAGCCTTGTTGGGTGGGATAAATTGATTACAATGGTTCTGGGACTGTGTTTATTTTATAGGCAAATATGCTAGAAATGTGTGTCTGCACTAAATTGGATTCCTTCTCTCTTACCCATGGTTGCTTTTTTTTCTCTTTCTTTCAGTGTTTGACCTTCTGCGCAAGGGGTAAGTAGCCCGCAGGGGACTTTGGGGAATAGAATGTTTAGGTGTTTGCAGTTCTCATCAGATGGAGAGCCAGCTTCTGAATGGAGGGGGACTCATTCACTAACTCCCTGGGTGAAATGCAGAGGCGATGTGTAAGATGGTGCCAGTTGTATGTCACTAAGTGGGTGTGAAGGAGACCGATTCCGATTGCAGTTACACCACTGTAAATCAGATACTCTCTAGATTTTGTAGTCACTGAGATTTACACTGGCATAACTGCTTTCAGAATCTGGTGAAGGGAGTCTGACTTGATTAACTTACATGTCAAGTGACCAGAAGAAGTTTTTAAATAATGTAAGTTAAAGTAACTTCCACCTTATACCCTCTTCTGTCATGTCTATGTATAGGGTATGTTTCCTTAGAGTTCCTTGCACTCGTTTACTCACCAGTGTCTAACCTTATGCCAATCACTATTGAATTCTCCCTCGCCCGAATTATTTGAGAGACCACATTTTGTAAATGCAGGAGCTTTTCCACCTCCACACATTACGTTATCCAGATCTTTGGGATAGATACAGTTTACAGCAGATCCTGAAGAGCTTACAATCTTAATACGCAAGACAGGTCCAGGAAGGGAGAAGGGAAGTATTACTGACCACGTTTTTGAATGCCCCTGTGTCAGAGAGAGATGAAGCGGTCAAGGTCAGACAGAGAGCCTCTATCACAGTGAGCAATTGAACACAAATCTGTATCATAGTCTAGTGCCTTTGCCACAAGACCATCCTTCCTTACTTGCTGCTTTGCTTTTGTTTCTCTTGGGTCCTAACACTCACTTTCAGTTCTTTAGATTCTGATGTGGGCTCTGCTTTTCTTTTTGCTGGGTCCTCCAACATAAGAACGTCCATACTGGGTCAGACCAGTGGTCCATCTAGCCCAGTATCCTGTCTTCCGACAGTAGCCAATGCAAGTGAGAACCTCTGCATGCTGTAGCACAGATGCAGTCTGATGTGCATGTGATGCACAATTTTCAGTGTGACACGATAGTTGTTATTGCAGCAAACAATTGACGACCATCACAGAGTAAAATGAGATCATCATTAGAATTTTCTGCTCCAAATGAGTAGAGGTAATGGCTGAAAATGCTTTCCAGAGTACCACTGCCAGGTAGAAACACGGGCTGGAATCCTGGCTCAACTAAAAAAACCCAACAATACAGGGGCGCGATACAGTTTTAAAATGTCATAGCATATTCCTGTGTCACTGTGCCGTGTGGCAGCGTTGTTGCTATTAACGTCATTATAGTGGTGGGGTGATGGTTTTAGGCCTCATCTAGTAGAGGATGAAAAGCTTTTCACTGTCTAAGCCAATTGAAGGGTAGCCTTTTCCTGAACAGAGTCTATTGTGTTGTGTAGCATGTTGTGGTAGTTTAGAGCGTTTGGCACTGGCCTCACTCTACTCCGATTGAAGCCACTGTTAAAACTCCCACTGACTTCAGTGGCATGAGAGTTGAGACAGTGGTGAGCACTTTTGAAAATCCCACTCTTAGCAACCACTGAAGACAATAATAGTCTTTCCATTGGCTTCATTTGGCTTTGGATCAGGCCCTTAATTAGGGGTCAGTAGAAACACCCTCATTGATTTCAGTAGGCATCGGATTGGGTCCTAAGGGTGTAATATTACAAGATACTGAGCACCCTCAGTTACCATTTATTTCAAGGCAGAATTGAGCCCTAAGTCTCTCCAGAACCTGTTACTTCTGCTTTGGAGCTAAACAGAAGAAATGGTACAAGACATGAAAGGAAGGTTTAACCATTGAGGCTATGTGCACACGCTAAGTGAAGGTCTGATTGTAGCATAGGTAGGCATAGCCATGTTAGCTTTAATCTAGCTAGCACGGGTAACAGTAGTGGCAGCATGGGCCAGCAACCAGAGCATATACCCAGGATCCTTGAAGGGCTTGTACTCTGGTTGCTAGCCCGTGCCAGATTAATGCGAACGCAGATACGCTTAGCCATGCTACAATCAGACCTTCATTTTGCAGTGTAGACAAATCCAGAAGCTCCTCTTCCCAAACTCCACTCCCATACTTTATTTAGGGCCAGGTTCAACTCCCAAGGAAGTCACTGGGAGCCTTTCCATTGACTTTAATTGCACTTGGAATGGGCCTGTAATTCAGAAAAGAAGGAAGAGGGATTAGGAGAGCTAAGTCTGCAGGGAGATTCCATACATTTTATTTCCCTTTACCACTTTTTTCTGGGCTGCCATCTCTTGCAGGTTAATGGTGACAGGATGAGAGGCAAGGAAGGTCTTACTGGTGATCAGGACAACCGTTGTCCCTTTGGGGAAGGGAGAAAACTCTCTTTTGAGTCTCTGCACAGCTCAGAAAAAGCCATTGTAATCAGCTGCAGCCACGAAGGGGGGCTGTGCCACTCTTTTGGAGCAACCCTTCTACCTCTAGCAGATGGCAATTATACTTCATTAGCAGTCCTGTCGCTCCCATTGCTTCTCCCAGGATTCAGCGACATGAAAATGTTGCCATGTGATGGGGGAGGAAGCTGGAAATCGGTGACAAAAATGGAAACAGACCATTAAGCTCATCTAGTGAAAGAATGGGCGGGGGGGGGGGGGGCTAAAAAGCACAGAGAGTAGTTTTCTGACAAGAGAGATGCGGTGCTGCCAGCTTCCTTGAGCTCTATGGGCTGGGGGGCGGACAGGGTGGTTAAAAGAGAGGGTAGCTGCTGCTAAGTCGCTGGAGACCTCTTGTGCATTGATTCTCAACAAGGGCTCAATCCTGCAAGATACTGAGAGCTCTGGCTCGGATCCAGCACAGCATTTAAGCACACCCTTAAGTCAGTGGGAATACTCACATGCTTAAAGTTAAAGAGTGCTTTGCTGCATCAGTGCCAAATACATTGCAGAATCAGGCAGAATCCTGCAAGATGTTAAGCATCCACACCTCCCATTGTCATCATTGAGAGCTGAATGTGCTCATTACCTCTCAGAAAGTGCTAAGCAGCTTGTAGGGTCTTGGCCCTATATTGCCATTTACACTTGGCTTTCACCTGTGGGCAGGGGAGAGGAGGGTCACTTAAGAGATTCTGCACGTCCATTAACAATGAAGACATAAAGGGGGCCACCAGGGTGGGGAAAAGGAAGTTTTCAATCTGACTCCTGAGACTTTTTCGCAGCTGTACTGAACCTTGAACAGGAAAACAGGGTTTTAAGAGCTGCTAAAATGATAAATCAGAAATATTTTCATGTTAATGTCAAACCCTACAAGGGAATATTTAGCCCTTAGTCTGGTCTCATTGAAACCTGGACGACACTGGTTTTATTGCCCTTTTCTTCAGGAGCAAATCCTAACTAGCATAATGTCAAATCAGAATCAGGCCTTTGGAAGACTACTTTTGATATGCAAGTTATGTGCCAACTGTATGGTGCTTGTAAAGGCCATAAGGCAATATACCAACAGCAGTTTCTTTCCATGAGACTGATAGTAATGGCTGTGACGTGCTTCTTTAGTAAGTGATATAATAATAAATAATACAGTTTTGCACTTTTTATAACACTTTTCATCCATGGTTGTCAATGTTTCACATTGGGGTAGGTATTATCCTGATTTTACAGAAGGGGAAACAGACAATTAGGGCCTGATTTTTAGAAGTGCTGAGAGTCTGCCCAACTCCCATTGCCTTCAGCTGGAGTTATGGGTGCTCAGTCCTCTGAAATCAAGTCCTAGGGGTCAGATTTTCAAAAGAGCTCAGCTCCCATTTAGGCACCAAAGTAAATGGCCAGATTTTCTAATGAGCTCAGCATGCTGGGTCTTTTGAAAAATCTCTCTCTAAGTGTCCGAATGGGAGATGCCAGATGATGAGCACTTATGTAGGTCCCTGAATGGGAGCTGAGTTCTTCTGAAAATCTGGCCCCCATTGTGGTTGCTGAGCACTTTTGTAAATCTGGTCTGAAATGACTTGCCCAAGATCATGCAGAGTCACAGACCAAAATAGAACCCGAGAGCTCTGTTTACTAGCTGACTGCCTTTTTCCTTTCAGTCCTGTCATGGAGGTGCCAACTGACCAGCCATTCACTGAAGAGCAGGCTCGGCTCTACTTTAAGGACATTGTCTTGGGCATAGAGTACTGTGAGTACCAAGATCAGTTGCACCTTTACAAAGCATTGCCTTGACCTACATTCTTGTTTGAAGCCAATCTTTTAGTCACTGGTGAACTGTCGGAGTAAAAGGATACTCTCTAATCATACATGGAGGGATTTGAAAGATTGGCAATGACCCGTCTCAGCCTGATTTTGTATGGGCTGTATCACAGTTATTCACTGGCAGCCGTTCTTTAAAGTGGCACTATGAAAACGATTAGTAATTTTTTTTTTGTTAACTCTCTTGGATAGAAATTGTAGACTTTAATCCTTACAGCTGTGCCAAGCTTGGCTGAAGCCAGGAAACAGCATTTGCAAAGACACAGGCTAAGAAAGTCAATTAGCTTCAGTTGAAGTGAATTTGCGCTGCTTCCAGCTGAGTTGTGGGGGAAGAGCTTGCAGCTGGAGGGCATCTGTCCTTGTCTGCTCCCTTTGGAATGCATCTCAGTGACTCATCATTACTCAGGGCTGTGACATGGGGAGAACATGCCACCTCATCACCTGCCATCACAGCTGGTGGCTTGTGTATTTCACAGAATCCTCATTCAGTATTCAGCATCTATATATTTTTAATGGGCTATTGCACAATTTATTTTAATAAATCAAATATTGTGTTTCTCCCTCTAACCTGGCAGATGAGTTCCCAAGTATTTTGGGCCAGATTCTCATCTAAGATCCAGGCCTGAGCACTACAAAAGGGCCAGATTTTATCTTTAAATGGTCATCAGGGAATTTCCCTGGCATAAGGGAACTGGCATATCACTGCTGACATAAAGATAATGAAGACAGCCCCTGTGCCAGATGCCACACCCCGCGTGTAGGGAAATGTTGGGGGAGAAAGGGAGTGGTTGTGTGGTGGACCCTATGCTAGTGGGATAAGAGCAACCTTTGGGTATGTCTACACTTACCCGGTAGTTCAGCGGCGAGCGATCGAACTTCTGGGTTCAACTTATCGCATCTTGTCTGGACGTGATACGTCGAACCAGGAAGTGCTCGCCGTCGACTGCGGTACTCCAGCTAGATGAGAGGAGTACCGCGGAGTCGACGGGGGAGCCTGCCTGCCGCGTGTGGACCGAGGTAAGTTCGAACTAAGGTACTTCGAACTTCAGCTACGTTATTCACGTAGCTGAAGTTGCGTACCTTAGTTCGAATTAGGGGGTTAGTGTAGACCTGGCCTTAGACTGACTAGCTCTTACTGGGACCGATGCACACTGGCCCTCAGGAATCAGGATCAAAGATTCATTTATGGACTCCTTGATGTGCCTTCCTTTTCTGCACTGAGCAGAGATCTAGCATTCCAGAGCTCACTTGCTGTATCTAAGCTATCCGTTGGGTTTTTACACCACACTCATCACCATGGTATCTGAGTCTCTACTAGATGGTCCCCTTACTTCCTTGTGATCTGCAACCTGGAGTTCATTATCTAGGTGCAGGAGGAAATACCTTCCTTCCTTCCTGGCTGGGGTTCTCCATTTAAGGCTTCCCTTTCTTAGCATTGACAGAGCCAGACTTCCTAATATTATTTAAATATTGCTGAAGTTTGCTGTATCTGTGCTGTCACGGGGAATGGTGGCCCTTCAAAATAGGCCAGATTTACATCAGATAGGGACAGTTACATTGGTATCTTTCTATTCCCTTGTATTTCCCTATATTTACTAGAGGAATACCTGGAAACTGCAGATGCTGAGGTTACTGAGCTGCAGTTTAGTTTTCTTAAGGGCTAGGACTGTACATACAAATGGCTCTCTTAGATGTCCCTTTGCAGTATTTCATGGCT